GATGGTGGGCAGCGATGTAGGATGGAGGATGTAGGATGTCGGATGGTGGACGGCAGATGGAGGATGACAGATGGCGGATGGAGGATGGAGGATGGCGGGTGGAGGATGGAGGATGGCGGATGGTGGATGGCGGATGGAGGATGATAGATGGAGGATGGAGGATGGCGGGTGGAGGATGGAGGATGGTGGATGGAGGACGCCGGATGGAGGATGGAGGATGGAGGATGGAGGATGGCGGATGGCGGACGGTGGACGGCGGATGGTGGACGGCGGATGGAGGATGGCGGGTGGAGGATGGAGGATGGCGGATGGAGGATGGAGGATGGTGGACGCTGGATGGAGGACGCTGGATGGAGGATGGTGGATGGAGGATGGTGGATAGTGGATGGCAGATGGAGGATGACAGATGGAGGTGTTATGCCCAGATTTCAAGATTCCCAAGAAACCACATCAGGGAGCCAGCCAATCTGATGCAAAAGCATAAGAATCTGTATTTCAAGCTAGCTTGAGCTCCCCATCCACCAGACTCACCGACACAACGACAAGCCAAGTGGCGAAGAGACAGAACCCCGCCTAGAGAAGGGTTTTAAAGGGGGGGTTGGAGTAAGGGGAGGAGAAAGGACTGTGCTCTGCCGATTGGCCAGGGGCAAGTCGATGTCTTGTTCCTGGGTGTGGCTAGCAGAGTCTTAGACTTCCGGGAAGAAGCTCCTTGCCAAGCATGTGGCCAAGGTAAGATGGAGGACGTGGCCCTTACCCTGGGGCAAGATGGAGGGCGTAGCCTTTACCCTGGGGCAAGATGGAGGGCGTAGCCCTTACCCTGGGGCAAGGTGGAGGGCCTAGCCCTCGCCCTTTCATTCCCCCCTTTGTCTTGGAACTTCCGGCTCAATCATGAGACGGACTGCATTTCTATTCCACCGTTGCTAGAGGCCCGTACTGGGCATATCTTACCAAATGGTCTGGTGGAAGGGAAAGAAACCATTTTAGCTTTAACAACTTCTATTGAAATAGGATTTTTCTTCTTAAAATTCCTCCATGGCTATCAAAAAGCCAAATCAAGATTAATTTATCTACTGTCCTGATGTTTGCATAAACACAACAAGAATGGTAACTGACTACCTTTGCTGGAATCTCATGGTTGAATCTTAATGTGCCCCGTAGGGCCAGGAAGCCACGCCACCCAGCTGCCATCAGGCCTGCCTGCAGTATCTGCTGAGTTAGGTGAATCCCTCACCTGTAGCAACTCCACCTGAGCCCACGCTCCAGGCTTTAAGGCCCATCTCAGTAGTCCTCCTACTTGTTGCGGCCCAGAGTGTGTGGGGGTTCCGCAGGGACGCAGAGGCATCCTTACTGCTCCCCTTCTACTCTTACCAACCGCCAGTGATGGTAGGGCATCGGCCTGACACTCCAGCGCCAGCCATCTTCAGGGCTTCCAAGCAGGATACCAGGTTTTCTTCGTGGCATTCTTACTGGCTTCAAGTCTTTAGAGCTCAGACAGGGCTCTTTAAAACATGATACTCCAGTCAAAGTTTTCCATTAATAAAACCACTATTAGGAACCGGTCTTATTGAATCTATGCAAAGAAATGTATTGCCATGTTAGCATTGCCAAATTTCGGAGGAATTACATAAGAAGAAAGACATACTGATCTACTCTAAGATTTTCTGACTTTCCTTGCCAATTCCTTTTAACAAAACATTAATTGTTGGCATTAAACTTTCTTTCTATGCATAACCATGCCTTAGACCTTCTATTCTAAACAGGCTTTTTTCAGACTACCCCTGACATGGGCATGGTCACAAAGGCCTGCAAGCAGTACACAGGCTGCCAACTGTTAGCTGTCTCTCAACAGAGACCAAAACCTGATGGGCACCGTTCCCTGCCCAGTTGGGCACCTGCCCTCTTGGCAGCTAGCCATCCTTTACTTTTGGGGGTCACCCCACATAGTTCCCTTCCAGGACAGCCAACATACATTCAAACCTGCAAAAGAATCAAAGGTCAATATAACATATCAATACAATGAAACATACTAAACATGTGATACTAAAGTCTATTCCTGATCTTCCTATGAATTGTCCTTGTCTTTTTGGAGCCAAGTCCATGAAGATGCAGGCATTATCTAAGTCTATTCAATGTTACCAGCATCGGGCAGGTCGAGCACGCCGTAGCTTGAGCTTGAGCGGGTTGTGTTGATCTCGATCGATGCTCCATTTGGTGACGAAGTCTTTCCGGATCTCGGATGGGTCTGCTGACCAGACGTGGGTGTGATGGACCCAGGTCGCGACGCTGTCTATCTATTTTGAGAGCGGTGGGGGTCGTCAGCACCACGGTGTAGGGTGTAGGGATCCTTCCAACGTGGCTCCAGGGTCTCCAGGTGGTGCCTTTTGACGTAGACCCAATATCCTGGTCTGTGCTGATGAGGAGTTGGGGTTGGGCCAGTCTCCTGGGTGGCGCCGAGGCGCAGCCAAATGTCCTCGTGCGCCCTCTGGAGCCCTCTCAAGGAAAGAGACAATTCTTGCAGCAAGAAAGTCAGCTTTAAGGTTAGGAATGATAGGGGGTGGCCTGCTAAACATAATAGGAGAGCCACCCAGTCCCCGCCAGTTTCCATGGTTTGTTTCTACCAGTTCCCTTTGTGGCAGAGCAGCAACCAGGCCTCTTTCAAGGGAGTGCGCTAGGAGGAGGTATCAGCCCCTACTTTGCTAGACCAAACCCTTTCAGTACATTTGACCAGCTTCATTCCCGCCTATCTTTACAGATTCCAAGGCCCATTTTTTTTTCTTAATCAGTACTGGCCTGTATTATCTAATGCAGCACAGACAGGGGGAAGGGCCCATTAAATCTTTGCCTTGAGGAACTGTGAGCCCCATCCTTAAATGTCCCAGTCAGACTAGAAAAGCCACAAATACCTTTTAAATTTACCCCAGAATTCCAAAATCCCAACCCAGCACAGAATATCACATAGCAAATCAAAGTTCCCAGCAAACAAACAGAGATGCTTACAAACATCAAATAAACATTTACACTTACACCTTTTCAGTGAACAAGTATTTTTACAGTCTTGGACTCTTGAGCTGATAACAGGAACATCGCCCAAGTCCCCTGATGGGGCCTGACAGGAACAGATGTGGGGGCCTTTCCCACATCCCAGGACAGGATTCTTGACCTATGTCTCATTCAGATAGAAACGGTTTTCGTCACAAAGAAACAAACAAACCCAAAACCAAAAACCAAGAAAATCAAGGCCAGAAGTACCCTCTGATGTTTCAGGGGTACCAAGGAAGGAGAAGTTAGGCAATGTCCAGCCCTTCTCACAATCCACCACCAGTGACCAGTTCCAGCTTATTGGCCTACCATCCATTCAGCATTTCTCTTTCCTCCCATCACATCAAAGCCATGCTTTTCAGTTAGTTAGAACTTTTAGCCTTAATTTTTAGGTGACACGTAAATAATTAACATTACATATTAAG